TGAAGATATCTTCAAGATATCCCCTCCAGGATATCCAGAAGCATTCGACTAAGGATGTCTTAAAGATATCCCTTTCGGGATATCTCTAAGATATCGACTGAAGATGTCTAAAAGACGTCCCGAAGACATCCCTTGCGAGATGTCCGAAACTGTCCGAAAGAAGATGTCTTCAGGATATCCTATAAAGACATGGGGACAAGTCGTCCAGTTAGGGACATCCCTGGGATATCCCTGTGCTGTGTGGGACCATACGCTCTATGGTCCAACCACAACTAGATATCTGTGTGCCTCTTCCTCACACAAGCAAAAAAATTATGCCACCTCCAATAACGGTAGAAAATTGGAGCTCAAGACAATAAAAAGTTGCTCTAATTTTATATCAATTTCTCACTTTTATGCAAATATGGATCTCCCAATATAACCGAACGCCTTTGTTTCCCTACTTCTGGTACACCCTATGGGGGGGCGGAGGCGTGAAAGGAGTGATCGAAAAGATAAAACAGGGAAAGATGAGATATTGAAGAGCAGAAAAGGTGAGAAACGGTGAAATTTCGCGTTTCTTCATGAGCGACCTGCCAATATTTCCACACGTTAGTTTTTGTTCAATGACCTTTTATTTACACAGCATGCCCTTTACAGAAAGAGGATACAAGGTGGGGAGATTTGAAATATACAATTGGGGGTATTGAGATAATTGATGCGTTGGGGTTGGAGCGAAGTCTTGGACTTGGGTGAGTCCGCGGCCAGCCACCAGGAGGTGTTTTCAGGCCATCACGTTAGTCGTGTGTCGGACTTTTAAATGCCCAGGCAACTGGGCATTTAAAAGTCCAACATGGTGTTCCACATTGGAGCCACGTGCTTCTTGGTTCTATTTTTGGTGCTCCTGTTGGATGACCATCTAAAGTTGCTTCTAGATATTCTTCTATTGAGCACGCTCTATGCCTATAGTGTCAGGCTCCTACATCCATACCGTAGTAGTTGACCCATGTAAATGAGGACGATATACAGGCCTAGCCTCAGTAGCGAGATTGAGAGAATGGCCAAGGGAATGAGTGAGGCGTATGGTTGTCATGTCAATTGCAGACCATAACATTGAACTGAAGCTACTTGCTACAATGATTTTCGATCGAATCCATTCCTCCGAGTCTCTGGGGTTGGGGGGCACTTTCAATTGAAAATTACTGGCCCAGACCCTTATAGCAAATCCCTCCATGCCAGACCTCGGGAATGAAAGGAATATTCTGCACGGGCGTAAAGATATAACAATTTTTCTAAGAATGAAAGAAGATGACTTTAGATAAATTTAGGAAGGTGTAAGGAAAACTTAGCATTAACGCTATTTAGAAGGAAAGGTAGCAGCAAACAACACAGCTGCATCATAGGCCAAGAGCTAATCTAAATGTTGACCTAGGCTAGTTCTGAGGAAGAAGGGAGGTGGTGACATTATGAACCTTTTCTCTCCAATGTCTGCCTACATTGGAGCTGAATTTCCTTTTTCCTATTGAAAAAACCTTCCAGCTTCCCAACTCCTCAAACCCGAGTTCAAAGGGCTAATTAGGCCCATTCTACATGTATTAAAGATAATTTGAGTGGATTGGTGCAATGATTTCGGCAAACAGCATTGGGATCAGTCACAGACCCAAGCCTTTTGATTAGCCTTAGCTCTCACTGGCAATTGAAGAACAGATGGTAATGAACAGACACGACACAAAATCCCTTCTCAGTTTATTAAGTTCAACATGATGAAGTGATGGAAATCACCTTGTATTTTTTTAAATTCCTTTGAGAAAATAGGTACAATGAAGCCTAATCTGTCTCTGAGCAAGTTGGTTCTTTGTTCACCTCTTCACATCAGCACTGCTGCTCTTCTGGCATGAAAGTTCTATGGACTAATCATCTTGATGATGGAGAAAAACTTAACCTGCTCAAATAGGCACAGAAACAACAGGAGTGTTGATGACAACTTGAGATTATGTTCTGTTGATTTCCATAAGGCAGGATTTGTCACTTCCATGGTGAGATGAGATCCACTGTGTCCATCAATTTAAGCTATAGCAGATGGAAATCTAGGGAGTATGTAGGCTAATGATGAATGAGAGACATGAACTTTCAAATGAAAGCACTATGATTTAGCATTAAGTAATCAATGTATATGGTATTGTTGATGAGGGCTGCATCAATGCTTGAAAAGGTGCACCTCAATTCAATTTTCTTGAATGATTGACTCACTGCTGCTATGTTAATTTGTTTTTGTGCCTTAATGAATAGAAACACAAAAACTGTACAGGCTTGAGGAACTAGAAAAGTTGACTGACTCAAGTTTTGGATATTGAAACAGATGGAAAAAAGGAATTCAAATTTTACTTCCTGTAATGATAAATCATCAGGAAGCTGCACCAAAAGTACACCTTTGGTGGATGAAGCAGCATTACTGGATCAATGTCCTTAAGAGCTTCAATTTATCAAGTTTAAGCTGCCTCTTGTGCATTGTTTACCTTTTGCTTTTATGCTTTATTTACATGGCTGTGAAGCTTATTTTTTTATTATTTAGAAATTTCAGTATTTTTGAACACCTGACCCACTGAAAACTGCAAATCATGTCCTGTCTCACTTTTCCCTCAGCCTCTGACTTTTTTATTCCATGAAAATATTCAAGTTGTCCATGAATATTAACACAGCGATGACCAGACATATGAAAACATGGAAATCTCTGTGATCTGTCTTCAATGTGTTAAAGTGAGTATTATTGACAAACTTTTCTTGAATTTGAGCAATTTTCAGTCCATAGGTCTAAAGTGAAGATGACAGAAATAGGAAGACAGGTTCAAGAGAGTTTTGCCTTTCCAGGGATCACGTTTTGAACATAGTTTGTAATGAATGTTTGCTTAAGAAGGCATGCCACAAGCAGCAGCAATAGTGTAAGGATCACCCCTTACAATGGCCTCCATACAGTATATGCCCTCCATTAAAAAAGATAGGAACCAGATTTCTCATTATTTAATATCACTCAGTATGCCAACAGTATTAGTCAGAAACTTATTACTTCAGGACAGTGGCAGATGCTCAGCAATCCTGCTAGTCTGTTTCATGTTACATATGATTTGACTATAGGAATTTCAGTAACATGTATTTATATCTACTCAGGTGAATGAGTGGCTTTCATACTGAAAACCCAGTATTGACACGTGGAGTACTTTTTAGCCCAGTGAATGTCAAAGATGGCAGGAGCAACAACTGGGGAAAGTGAGGTTCATGAAACGGAGGAGTCAGAGACTGATGAATATGTCATGGAAGAGGAAGGAGGGATTCATATTGGAGATATTTACGTCCCTCCGCCTCCTCCTCCTGCACTCACTATGGAAAGCACTGGACCTCGACTGATTATTTCACAGATTGTCATTGAGGACTTCAAGAGTTATGCTGGTGTTCAGACCTTGGGACCATTCAACAAGGTGAGTCTTATTCTAATAATCTTACCAAGCACCTTCTACTCAAGTGGGCACAAGTGAAATGTATTTGACCTTAACTGACCATGGTCACATGACCAGATTTTTGTTTAAATGAAATGGGCCAGCCAATATCAGGACTTTGAAGAGACAAATAAGCTTATCTCTGTACATGTATTTGAAAGCATTCAACACATGAAAGGAAGGAGAGACAGGGCTGAATTTACAGCAACCATAGACAGATGTGCAACATACAATTGGATGGACTGGCAGTTCCCCTTCATTTTGATGATTTTGTAGTCATGAATCATTCTGTTCAGCACTTTCATGGAATGACAACATTAATAAAGAAAATAATATTCCTTCCTGCCTAAGGTTTAAATGGAAAGTTTACCATGAGGAAAAAAAGCTTGGGTTGCATTGTAAGTCAAGATATTGAATAATGGATCCCTATCGTCAGCTGAGAGAGGGTAATTAAGTGTTTTCCTGAGGGTGTTCATTTCGGATAGGACCAGTTTGTGGTCAAGCCTTGAAAGAATTCAGTTCTTTTTACTTACATGCTAGCTACTTAGTATCGAGATTTGTGGTTAATGGTAATGTATGCAGATGCAGTCTACATCAAATTCAGGTCTAAGCATCAATGCTGTCCATTTATGAATTATCTGAATTCACTATCTTCAGAACATCTATATAAAACAGTCTATAGGAACTCACCTGGATCCCATGGCTGGTTCTAAACAGCAATACAGCAGAGTATGATGATATGGGAATATAGTACATTGGTCTTGGAACCAATCACAGAGGGACTGGTAATTTATGTTGGCTGCACCATTTTGCATTTAAAACCTATGGTTTTCTGGGCATGTAACCTTGTTATTGCTGACAAAAAAAATGATATGACAAATCAATGTCCCCATTATTTTTATTTAATACTGGTAACAGATGATCCTTGTCCCCATTACCTTTTTGTTCTTGATTGCCATCACAACAGTCTGCAACATGTTATGTATGGTTTATTTTTGCAGAGCTTTTCTTCAATCATTGGACCAAATGGCAGTGGGAAAAGCAATGTGATTGATTCCATGCTATTTGTATTTGGTTATCGAGCCCAAAAGATTCGTTCTAAGAAGATCAGTGTCCTCATTCACAACTCAAGGGAGCATCCCAACATTGACAAATGCACTGTTTCTGTGCATTTCAAGAAAATTACAGACAAGGTATGCCTATTATTCAATTTGTCATATTCATGGTGCATGGTTCATTGAGTAACTTCTGTATGCCTATCCTTTTTTTTTCCTATTTTAGATTAAGCCATTACTTGTTGAGCCTGTAAATATGGATAGTAGGTACATCTCCCAGTGATGATCTTTTAGTCTAGTTAAACTATCATTTCTAATCAATATTTCAACGTACCTAAAAATTGAGAATAGCCACAGTCAATCGCAAGAATGAGTGTATGGTGATTCCATGGTGTGGAAGTGGATGTCTCACTTCTGGTGCCTGTGGGCTTACATGGTTGGAATTATAATACTTTTATCATTGATTTCAACCTTTCATAATCCACTTTTAGGTGGTTTGGTATACATTTTTCCTTCATTTTCATATGTTCTTCATAGTCTAAAGTGAGTGTATCAGTTTCACACTTGAAAATCAGCATTCTGGATAAATATTTTACTTGTAAAAGATGGTTCTTGATAGGTTGAGCTTGTGTAAGGATGATTTTCAGCATCCTGAATCCCAACTTGAGCATTCTTTCTTGATTTAGTTATTTGGAAGATAGAAAATGGTTAATTAATGTCCAAAATTAAACAGGGAATTGCTTATTGGCACATAAAAAAGGAATAGTACTCTGATATACTCTCAAGTCAAATCACAGGCAATTAAGTATGCATCAGCATATGTTGATTGGCCTAGGTGATAACTGGTTAATAATGTGTGAAATCTTCAATATTAGAGTTTTATAAACTGCATTTCCTTCATTGTCAAGCGGGTTGGAGATGGAATTCTTACCTTTTCCTGTGGTCCTTTTGGTTTTCATTCCTTTTGGTTTGGTTGGTTTTCACTTTATTAGAAAATTTCAATTCCTTCTCCTGAGAAGATTGTCCCCTGAGCAGCCTATAAGAAAGGCCAAAATTATCCAGTCCTTTGTACAAGGTGCCCCAAAAGTCAGGACAAACAGGGTTTTCACAAGTCTAGTCTGTTGCCAGCACTCATGTCCCCATTTTGATATTCAATTGATTCATATTGAATGATTACATAAAAATGTTAAATCTAAATTACAAAGTTTTTGCCATTGATAGTACTTTAGCATCTTCCACATGAATGTACACGACAAATTGGTTCACTTAACTGTATTTGCATTTAAAAGGCAAAGCCCTTGTGTCCTGACTTCATGGGATTTTCTGTATAGTATTTCTGTATAGCTCTATTTTTCTTTTTTTTAATGCTTGCTCAACAACCTATATTTTAAGAAAGCCCTTCAGCAAAAAATAGATTCTTTTGATGTATTGAAAATGACATTTCAGCCAAATCTTTGTCTTGGAATGCAACATAAAATTATTATAATTCTCACACATTGCAATCCAATCACTTCTCCCAATTCTTGCACCTAGTTTTCATACTAAATGACTAAAAGGAATTACCATTTAAATGTGGGTTGCTAATAAATATGGTTGATACTTGACATGGGTGTCATTTTCTTATGGCTGCCTAGATGACTACACTTCAGACATTTTGAAATGCATGTCATTTCCTCTCCTGTCAAACAGCCAGATGGAGGGATAATAGAGGTTCCAGGTTCTGAGATAGTCATATCCCGAACAGCAATTAAGGACAACTCATCCTTTTATACGATTGGAAACAGAAGAGTCCAGCGACAGGAAGTTGCCAAGGTCCTTCGCAGTCATGGTATTGATCTTGATCACAATCGCTTCCTCATTCTTCAGGTATGCATTGAAAAACCTGCTTGCCTCCAAAGGCTATTTCTATTTTGCATGTTTGTGTTTCAAATCCTCATCTGCATCTGCTTCCTCTGTTGCAGGGTGAGGTGGAACAGATTTCTTTAATGAAGCCCACAGCCTCTTCAGAGCATGAGTGTGGCTTGCTGGAATATTTAGAGGATGTCATTGGATCTAATCGCTTCAAGGTTTTAGTTTCCTTGCTTAAACATTTAGATGCTCAGCTTCTTGTTCAACTTTTTTCAAGTGAAAGAGTTTTTATTTCTGGCTGCCTGGAAGAGTTTTTGCTTTCTAGTCTCATCTAATTGTTAATCTGCCCAGGAACCTTTGAGGCTAATGGAAGAAAGGGTGGAGTCCTTGAATGAGCAAAGAACAAGTCAATTGAATCGTGTGAAAGCAATTGAAAAAGAGAAGGATCAACTAGAAGGTCCAAAGAATTCTGCCATCAAGTACCTGAAGAAAGAGAATGATCTCACACAGGGTCGAAATCTCCTGTACCAGTGTCATTTGTGAGTTACCATCAAATCAAATCTTGAAATTCAGTTCATTCTACATAATTTTCTCTCCACATATCTTTTTTATTTTCATTTCTGCCGTATCATTTGTTCAAGAATGGAGGACTTCTGTGGAAAGTAGCTAAATCCATCTATCATCTCCAGTTCCAACTCCCCTGAGATTGTGCTACTGGCTTTTCTTGTCATGTTTTATTTTCTTCTTCTAGCTACATGTTTCCTGGTCTTTTTCCTCATATCCTAACAGTCTCAACTGGAACTAGTCTTTGTAAATCAATTCTTTTTGTATTTTATGAATTCAAAAGAGGAACGTGAGACAGTCTGTAAAAATATCACTGTAGAAGTTGCTTCCAGATGTTGCATTCCTTTCCCTTCTTTTTCCATCCTCTTTTTCCAAACTTTCAGAAGATGCATCTGCCTTTTTTCCACACTCCAGCAATTAGCAATTATACTTCCATGCTGTTGGGCACTAACAGAAAAAGTACATTAACTTTCATGGGATCAGAAGGGGGAAGGAAAAAGAGGGAGCTAGAGGTGGACAAGGTAAAAGCAAGGAATAAGACTGCAAAGATGCTGATGAGGTCAACAGGCAGGAGATACAATCATAAATTATGCCGATCCTACACCTGTATTTTAGAATTATCATGGTTGTCAAATTCCTATCATGACCATTCCTAGTTGGTTATTCCCAAATCATTGCATCCTGACATATAACTCAAGTTCACTCACTCGTGTAAAAATTAAATTAATTTAATTTGCCATTTTGAAGGAACTACTGGAAGTAAAACATTAGGTGACCTTAACCCTTTCTGTGCCATGGACAGTGAATGCCATTATGAGTATTTTAGATCCAGGATACTTTGTATGTAGTCAGAAGTGGAATAATTTTTTTGGTAATTTGGGGGAAAAAATAACATTCAATCTTTACTATTTCCAGAGATATAAGTATTTTACTAAGCACGTTTGTAAAATTCGCTGCTTAGGGAATAGTTCTGGCAGCAGCCAACTTGCACACTGCAAAAGTTTTAGCATGGAAATAGTTAATGTGCAACTGGCTCACACAAAACTATGCAAAAATGTAAAATATATGGAACATTCATGTTTGTGAGCTACCATGCAATGAAAGTTACCATTCCATTTATCACAAGTGAGATATTATGGCATATCTTTCCCTTTATATCTTTTGTGAATCCTAGGCGTGATAAGGCAAAAGCTTTGGAAGGAGCCAAGAAGGAGCAAAAGGAGGTAGAGAATTGCTTTGCAAACCTGAAAGAGAAACTGGATGCTATAGCACAGAAGAAGAAAGACAAGGAAGCCACTTTGAAACTCATCCATGAGTGAGGATTCTACCATCTCTTACATTCTGCTTTTTCAGTTGTAGGGGTGCAATGGATCTCCTCAATCTGCATGCAGGAATTTTGAGAAAGCAACAAAAGAGATGGAGAGCCTGAAGGAGCAGTTCAAGTCCCTAGAGCAGGAGGATGCCAAGGTCAATGACGAGAAGAAGCGTAAGAATCAGTTGCGGAAGAAGCTTCAGGAGAACATCCAAGCAGAGCAAGCCAAAGTGGAACAGTTAAAGAAGGTTCCTGAAAAGAATATCATGAAAATCCAGGAATTGGAGAAGGCATCAGAAAGTGCAGAGGAAGAAGAGGCAAAAGCAGAAGAGACCTTGAATCTAGCCATGAGCAATCTCCAAAGTGATACCAAACCATTACAAGAGAAGAAGGCAGTCCTTGAGACACAACTTATTGACCTTAAAAAGGATGTCAATGAAGCCAAGGCAGCTGTGAGTCTCAAGCATTGCAGCCATCAGGCATAATTTTCTGGAAATCATACTTTTTTTAAATGTCAGCTAGGTGCACTCCATTTCTGATGAATAAGTTATGATGAATCAATTGATTTTTGATGAAGTTACTAATTTCCAAGCCTTGAAAACATAGATGCTGCAACATGAACCACTGATGGTTCATTAATACATCACTGTAGGTAACCATTGATAAATGGAAGGAGAGCTGAATTTCTTTGGGAGAGGACTGCATACCTATTCATAGGCTTTGGGAGTGTCCTGTAAAAAAAAAAAAATAATAAAATAATAAAAAAAACCTACATTTTCCATTAAAAAAAATTATACTGGACTTGTCTCCATTCCAGGATGAAGGAAAAGTTACTACCCCTTAGAAGCCAGTGATAAGGGATTAAAAATGGTCTGGTGAATAGGAGGAAAGAAAACAGTTTCTGGCTTTATCCTGCCTCCTCTCCAGGAGTTTAGCTTACTGCTGAGATGCTCTTTTCCCCTGCATCTGCAGTTTTTTTTGTTTATTTATTTTATTTTATACTCCTTCCTCTCCTTTCTCTTCCTCCTTCCCATAATTACTTTGCACCTACAAATTTAGAATCTAAGGGTGGATTTTTGAACAGAGAACTATCTGATAATGCAGATTTATTCTCAGGAAATACAATACTTTCCCTGAAATGAAGCTGCATTATCAGATAGTTCTCTGTTCAAAAATCCACCCTAATTCTCCCATTCTTAGTCTGTCAATGCATTACAAAAGCAGATGAAACCATTTCTGCCACCAACCATTGATGACAAGATTGATACATCATGATGGGTTCATTTTTTATTGTTTCCAGATCATCTGCATATATCTCTTTGGTTGCTATGCTTGGCTACAGAAATTTGAGGACTGATTACACTTATTCCACAGTTCACTTGAGAGATTTTATTTATAGGACGTTCTTCAATTGTAGATGGACATGGCCCACTCAGATATGGATGTATATCAGCGTACAGAGCGGACAGAGAGTGCACGACTGAAGCAGTTACAAGATCAGTGGCAATCTGCAACTCAGCAGCTTCAACTCAAAACAATGTGAGATGCATGAAACTTCAGAAGAATTTTACTGATGAAAATAGCATTGCTTTAACATTCTATTTTTTGCTTGTAAAGACTACTGTATATTTCTTAGAGGCAGTCAAGACCAGCTCATTCACTAAGGAAAGGGAGTGAGCCTAATGTACTAGTTTCACAAAGAGTTTACAAAACTGATAGCCCATAAAGGTTTTCCCATTGGAATCTATAGGCAAAAGGAAAAAATTATTTTCTGTCAACAATGGAGCTCCAGTTCTCCAATGAAAAAATCAGCATGTGGCCCTTTCAATGTGGCCCAGCATTGTGAAACTTTGGATACCCCTGGACTAGAGTTTTGTTTACTCCTAATCCTTGTGAAATTTAGCAACTCAACTTCTGGGAACTTTGAATAGCTGCCATCACATCATACTGGCAAATCAATGAAGAGTTTGAGGCCATGGGCAATGATTTCTATGTACTAAATAGATAAAAGAGGCTGGGACTGCAGCTGTTAAAAACAACTCACCCAGTAATATTGAAGTTCAAGTAAAGGGGAGCAGTTGCCCTTCCAAAGTGTTTGTTTCATACCTCTTAGTTTAAACCTACAGTAGAGATCTTAGGATATGTGCAGAAATTCATTTTGGTGTATTGCAGAAAGACAATTTGTATAATTTTGTGGAATTTGCCAGAGAGTTGGACAAATTGAAGGAAAGCATACCATGCATGGAAAAGGAGTTCTCAGAGGGAAAAAAAGAGCTGGCAGAGTTAACTGAGAAGGAGGAAGGGCTGAATGAGGAATATCAAGGATTGTGTCTTCAGCTGGAAGAATCCAGATCAGCAATGCAGGCCTCCCGCAATACCAACCGTGTTCTTGATGCCCTCATGCAGCAGAAGAGATCTGGAAACATTCCTGGCATCATTGGAAGAATGGTTGGTCTTTTGCCCTCTACTTTTTCCTTCCTGGAATAGCTCTCATTTTTGTGGGAGATTTCTGATTGCTTCCATCAGATGGAAAGGCAAAGCCTAATGACTTATTTGTTGAAAATAGTTTTAAAATTTACTTATCAAAATTTTTTGCATATGCAGCTGGGGAAATTCCCATTGATAAGATAAATTTAGTTGTTTGATGAAAAACTGATAATATATATTTGGAAACAACCAAAGTAGTTTTCTAGTATGAGCATTTACCACTTTTCATGCTCTATGAACAGCACATTGATGGAGCAGCAGAATCTGCAAATATTGAAAAGAAAAGTTAAAGTAATTTCATTAACAAATGAGTAGACAGAACAACAAAAAAGTGTCTAAAGGAGGAATGTTCACTTCAGTAAGAAGGATCAGAATCCAGTGCAGGCTAATAGAGTAATTATTAGTCACTATGGCCCAGGAAAGCGGGGTGTATGTCTTTGACAACTGTTCTCTCTCCCTTCTGGAAGGTTTGTCTTGGGCCAAGATGCGTTTTCTCCTTTTCTTTCCATTCATCATCACATGATGCTCTTCCAAGAAGTATGATTTAAGTGGTCCCCTATTCAGTCTCATGATGCAAGAAACCATCTAAGATCTCAATAAATCATTGATGCTCTGATCGATGTATCAAGGCATAGTTATATTCCACATTAGTATCATGAGGAACATACCTTAGGTCCATCGTTGGAGAGAGAGGCTGCACTTGGCAGTGTGCACAGAATTGTTAGTCCCATTCTAGGCACAAAGGTACTCTTCTTCAATCTCCTAAGCTCTCCCAATCAGCCACATTCCTTTCTGTCTCTCATCTGCCATTGATAGGAAGCCCACTACTAGGCTAGACCAAGCAGATGTTTATACTTCCATTTCTGACTGCTTTGGCTTCAGGCCTGTTGCTATTTCTTCACAAGTCTGGGACACAGAGGATTCAAAGATCATGCAAGACTCTAAATCAGACCTGGTGTGCTCTTCTGAAGCCATTTCTATTTTTTATTCTCCCCATTATTCACCATTTATCAATGATGAGCAAAATATATAAAGTATTAATGTAACCCATCAATTCTTCAGTTGATGGGTCCATGTGTTCAAAACTGACATCAGACAGCCCTATGAAAAATGGGTAACCTTTGTGTCTGTGCCATGCATGTCCAGCAGGAATGCTATATTGGGCAAGTGCATGGCAGTGTACCTCAAATAGGAATGCCCCAGATACAGTCAAAACAAGATAGCCTTCTATTGTCTAGCCAGATATCAGACATTAACTGGCAAAAAGTATCTGAACATTTCATACTGGAAACTTGAAAAGATCCACTTGAGTTGATGTGACTATAATAATCATCTCTCAGAATTTCTTTTCCTTTTTAGCACTTGCTGTAAGCAAGAAGATAGAATAATTAAGACTTTCTAATGGCAAAATGCTTTTTCATTCATTCTCAGTTTTTCTACTTTGCTCTGTTGCATTCCTACCCCAGAACAGTTTGCCACTTGCATTCATCAGCAGTTGTTGTGAATAGGTCTCTAAATGCAATGAACCTTCTGGCACATATTCAATGCATACCCTTTATACAGCCTCACTTGCTCCAGGTTAGGTTGCTTCTTAGGAAATGATTAGCTGATTTTTGCTGACTAATGCTATAATGAGATTTATCATCACAACCCAGTTTGCTTAAGTTACTTTCATAACCCTTGTGTTCAAACTGACAGCTATCTATATTTCATGCAGGCATATCCCTTCCAAACAGGTTACTGATAATCCTATCTATAAATACTGGCCTAATATGCCCTCATACAGAGTTGGCAATTTTTGTGGGAGATCATCCTTAGTATTTCAAAAACAGGCTTGTCATTTTAGCCCCTCACATGTCCTTTTTGCTGATATTCAAGGGTGACCTGGGATCAATAGACAAGCGATGGGATGTTGCCATATCAACAGCTTGTCCACAGCTTGAGAACATCCTTGTTGAGACTGTCAATACTGGTGAGGAATGCATCAATTTCCTCAAGACCCACAACATTGGCCGTGCCACATTTATTGCCCTCGACCAAATGCAAGAGTATCATCGTTACGCTAACTCCACCGTGCGTCTCCATTTCTCTGAACACATTTCAAGCCTAGCTGAGTCAAGTGTCAAGATCCATTCCAACTCATGCGATCAACGTTGAGGAACTTTGATTGTACCTTAAACAGGATTTGCCTGAAATAATTCAAGCATTGAATCTAGCTTTGCACAAAGCTATTGACTGGCATTGCTTTTTTTCAATAATTCATATTACCATGCTTCCCACTGTTTGAAATGCTTGCATACATTTTGGCTTTGTTTCAAGTGCTTTAAGAATTGCAAGTTCTTGTGACAAAGATTCAGAAAAGTATAAAGAAAATCTCAGATTTAATTGGTGCTCAAAAACACCAATTAAGGCAAGCGTAGCTGTTTGATCCATAGCCTTTTTCCCCCAAGGGGAAAACTTTGTGGTAGGAAAATCTCAACCATTTTAATTAGAATACTGAAATTAGGAAAGTCTTCATAAATCAGGGAGGCCATCATGCTTGAATTTTTTACAAAATCCCATTCAGAAATGCAGCTATTATTTTATCAATTGAGCTGGAATGCCTCTAAAGTATAGATATTTATTTTTTTAAATCTTGAAGTAGAATTGCCAAGTTTTTGGCTGTAGAATACCATGTATTGAAGCATACCAACTGGATTTTAGCATGTGATTTCTTATATAGATCAAGACCCCTGAGAATGTACCTAGATTGTTTGATCTGGTACAAATAAAAGATGACAGATTCAGACCAGCATTCTATTTCACCTTGAGGGACACACTTGTGGCTGAGAGCTTGGACCAGGCTACCCGAATTGCCTATGGAGCCTCACGTTGGAGGGTTGTCACACTTCGGGGTGATCTCATTGAAGTCTCAGGTGCCTTCTTACTTCCTAATATTCATGAATCCAGTTGCCCCTCTAACTGGATAGTTTAAATCCATTATGGAAGTTCCATTATTAATCCCAGTTGAATCACAATTTGACAAGGTATAATGAGTGGAGGTGGAAAAAGGGCAAGTTCAGGGAGGATGGGCTGCCACATTTCATCAGCCAAAACAGAAGTGGCCCCTGAGCAATTGGCTGCCATGGAATCTCGCATCAAGCATGTGGAAAAGGAACTGAACCACATCCGAAACCGCAAGGAAGAACTTGAGTCTAACATTTCTCAATTGACCAGAGATCTTCGCAGCTCTACTGCAAAACATAAAAAACTTCAGCTTGAGGTTCCTGTAAGTTTGTTCTGCATCTCATTTGTTTTTTGTGCATGTTTTTAACATGATGAATACAAACAGGAATACCAAGTGCATGTAGAAAGCCCAATAATATATATATATTATTTGATGAAAGTGAATCAATCTGATTAAGTCCTCAATTCTGGTTGAGAACATAATGGTACATTGAAAAATATCACCTTTGATGGACATGATGTACCCTTGGACAGGAAATGCATCCACTGAAATTTGCTGGAGATTTAATGTTTTTGGGCTCCCCATCACTCATTTACTCTGAAACCCTAAAGGTTACCATTGAGGATAAATGAAGAGTTCTCTATAGTCAAACTCAGAACTTCTAGTGGACCAGATATAATTCCTTTTGAAGCCCTCAAAATAAGTATTCACATCCTTATCCCTGTATTCCAAAAATGCCTAAAAGTCAGTGTATTAATGAAGTTTAATGATCTTTGATCAATTTGGCTCACAAGCCTTTTTGGCAAATGCTGAGAGCAAGTGGTCATGAAACTCATCTCATAAAGCTTTGATAAATCAAGAGCAACCAAAATGCCAACTATACCCATCTAGTAAATCCAAACACTTTCTTGCTTCAAAGACACAGGTTCAGCTTTGTGACTCCTCAAATGAATGCACATTTTCTTTAAGAAAGAGTACACAATGTTGTCCTAGGGAAAACTTAGGCATCATCTATCCTAACCTATCCATTGACATTCCTCAAGGCTCAGTTATTTCACATGGCTACTTCATCTCCTACACCAGCTCATGTCAAACCAAGCATGACCAAACCAATTCAGTTAAATAGAGAGATAACACCTCCCTGTGACAATCCATTCAAAATGCAGAAGACCACAATGCTTTAAATCTCTGCTTTAAAAATATTGACAGTCAAATGGTTCCAAGAAAGCAATCTATCTGAATGACTATAAAAGCATCCAGGTGACTTTCAACTTATCTAGACAGAAATGCAATGAGCCACTTACCAAAAAGCAACCATCACTCTTGAATACATCCTATCAGTTAAATTTGCCCCTTTCTTCAGCCACAGATGATCTCATTTCTAACCTACCACCACTGCATCCATTAACTACTTGAAATTGTGGACAGGAAACTTACACACTTCTTTACACTTTGTAGAAGTCCAGTGTTCCATGTGATTTAATGAAGTCCTTTACTGAAGTATTTATACCACCATGCTATCTGACAAATATTCCACAATACCAACATAATTGCATTGACAAAAAAGATCAAAAGGGTAAGCAAAAGATCTTGAAATGCATTGGTGTTCTACACCCCAGCAATGGCTTTGTCTGAGTGTCAGCAATAATAAGACACTGATCCAAACTGAAGATCTGAGCCTCTGTGCTTAAAAAAAATATCTAAAAAAGTGCAAAGACTGGCTCTGGAATCAAGCTGGCATAAATCAGAACATGAAGAGCTAAAAAAAAATTCATCCCTTCTGCTACATCTACTTTTAACTCCCTATAAAACCAGAGAGCTGTGAAAACTTATTAGATCCTGGTATTCCAGGCCTCGTGTTCCTTTTCTTTTAAACCAAACCAGTTTTCTTTACTTGGTGGATGAAATAAACTAATTTGCATCATTAGGCACTGTTATATTTTTGTCATCCCTCTCATAACTTGTGTATTTGGCTTGATGCATTAATGCAATTAGACCTTTTTTACTCTTGAAAAGAGCAAAACTTATGAGGTGATAGATTCCCATGCAATGGGGCAGTAACCCATTGAGCCTCAAAATACTACACTTTTGTGAGTTTAAAAGGTATTCATTAAAATATTCAATTGACACCTCATAGAACATGTTTTATGTTTTAAAACAATTCTGAAACCAAAGGGGTTTGAATGAAACCACCTTTCTAGATTTATGCTAAATGTGATATGAAAGCTGGTTATGGTGCAAAATACATGTCCCCAGGGTGCATGAGAGCCATAGTATAGAAACAGAGACACCTTCAAGATGCCACTAATGTGGGTCAAGTGAATAAATGGAGACACATGAGGTGCCATGAAAATAGAGTATTCATTTAAATAATTTACAGTTCAAAGCATAGTGTCCTAAATGGGAGGCACAGGATCACTACCCAATATCAATCACACAACTGTTATGAGGGCTACAGTCATATTGTTCCTGGCCATGCTAATCAGTTTAACATCTATATAATCTATATAATGAAATCAACTATCAGTGGCACGTGCACACGTGTGCATAGTGCGATCACATGTGCTCTCCCATAGCTATAGTAATAGGTTCACACTGTGGCCAAAGGCCACTAACATTCAGAAACAAGCGCAGTGGGTTGCAATGTCTGTAGAGCAGTGTGAGGCCACCAATGAAAGCTCACATAACCTATTCTTCTAGAAAGCAACGATGTAAAGTAACTTCTCGATCTTTGGGCTGCCCTTCGTCTTTGCAAGGCTTCAGGTCCCTGTCCACCCTGCCTTTGATATGGTAATTAATGAAGCACTGGGGCAGACCTTCCAGATATTGGGAGTGTCTTTGTTGCACCCTGTCTTCTCACATGGCCAGCCAGTGGTGGATCCAGAAGGTGGTGGCGACCCCCCATCGGCCATGTTCACATTCATTGCCTTTAAATTCTTCAGTACTTTTGCATGGGCTCCTGACTAGTCTGTGTAAATGTTCTTTTCACTGGTAAGGACATTGAAATGTGTCTGGATGTCTTGCCCAGAGATGTTTTAAGTAGCTGTAGTGATGGGGCAATTTTTCTCACAGGGGTTGGAAGAGCAGGTATCACGACTAGCTTCACAAATAAAGGAACAAGAGAAAAAAGTGGCCAAAGTAGCTCCCGATCCCAAGGAATTGAAGAAGTTGGAAGCTGAAGTACATAAGTCTACTCAGGGTATGTCTTCATGATGCATCTAATCCCTTCTGATGGCAACATAATCCCCAAATTTTGGTTTGGGTAGACTATAAGAAAGCAATGGAGAAGAGTAGTGGAATAGACAAGGAGGTGAAGCGCCTCCACAGCAAGATCCTCGAAGTGAACAAGTCACGAACCAAGGAAGCACAGCGGTGTCTGGATCAAGCCAAGAATCAGGTGGAAAAACTCAGCAAAGAAATCTCCCGCCTCACAGTGGAAATCCAGACATCTCAACGGTCAGTCCTTTGTCACATTTGAGTAAGGAACAAGGTTAACCCTTTCAGACCTGGCATCCATTTCAATGGACATTACATTTACATTGTGTCTATGGCAATTTCTTAGAATTCTCGTGATTTTTGCCCTCCATATTACGCTACAATGAGCACAATTATTCATGGCTTAGTTCTATCAGAGGCCTTCTTTCACCCATTAGTTTTGTAATCTTCAGTTATTTAATTAAATGTATAATATATAATATATGGTAAGATATGGTAAATTTATACAAAATATGAAAACTGCATATAAAGTGCAAAGCACAATTTTTAATTATAATCACAAAAGAGCTCAAAAATGCAAAAAAGGATATTATTCTGATAGTGGCCTCAATTCAGGTCTGAAAGGGTTAAATGAGTCTGTATATAAGGGCATGGTTAGCACACCATATCTATATCTATAGTAAGTCTGGTTATCAACCAACTTGACTCAGAGAGGGTTGCTCTGGGAGTCTGGTTGGAGCATGATAGTCACATTTATGATGGAAGACAATTTGATCCCAACATGCATGAATTTACTGCTTCCAGTTGAAATGTAGTCAGTGTTTTACTGATATTGCACAAGCATTTTGCTATATGTAACCAAGACATGCTTGAAACCTTGAGTCTTGGGCTGCCACTAAAGAATTTCAGAGGAAAATTTGTATCAATGCTTCCCACCCACCACACATTACTGTGAATGTCTATGTCTGGGTGGGAGTAGAAAATTCAGTATGGCACTCATAACCTTCATCCTGCATTCATCTTAGTGGCAAGCAAATGATCAGACTCCACAACTGATGAAGCAGTCCAAGACCAGCATATTTGGACACCGTAACTATATTAGGAGTGCAAAGGGCAAGAGGTGAAAGTCCTAGAATATAATACATATTTTGAAAGGTTTATTAGATATCTTTTAGAAAAATTCAGACACAATTGGAAACTTGTTACTGTGGTTACAGGGTGATGCAAAAAAAAAAGTGAAACTTGTTTTTCTTTTCATTTCAGGTGATTATAACTGAGCTGGAAAGTCTCAGTATTCATTGCAGGAGCACATATGGGCTAGAGAGCACTTTTTCTGTAGTTATGGTGCTGGTCAGAGTGAGAGACCATCTCTGGAAATAGTGAAAGGAGGTTTTCTGGAATATTTGAAAAAAGGTGCTCCACCAGATAAATTTATCCTGTCCATCGCTAAAAAGTTTTGTGAAACTGGATTGGTGTGCAATCAGAATCCAGACAAATCAGGCTGAAAGCACACCGTCCATACTAATGAGAATGGAGAGTTCTCAATAAGGTGCAGCAATCACCACCTAAAAGCAAACGTATAATATCCAAAAAACTGCTAATTTCTTGCAGGGGAGTTATTCATATGGTTTGAGACCAGTACTGTAACTAGAGGAATTGTTTCTACCATCCATACTCAATCCTGGACCGAATACTGAGACATTTCAGTTCAGCTATAATCACCTGAGATGAAAAGAAAAATCAAATCTCACATATTTTTTGCACCACACTATATTTAAAACTTATCACTGTTAGATAATTCAGTTAACTTATTTGTATATTTCTTTTCAGCATAAGCTAGTTTCCAGTTTCTCTAATTTAATTTAATTTAGAAGGGCAGATGGCACAAGAGATAAAATATGCAGCAGACAAGTTGTTGAGAACCTGATATATCTCTTTGATGCTTTTGATGGAGGGAGGAGGAAATGCAATGACAAATGAAGCAGTATGGATCAGAAGAGAAGATCCCTGGTTCATTCAGAGAGCATGGTTTGGGATGGGTTTTAAAATTCTGGTTGTTCCTCTTCAGCTGGAAAGCAAGAAGAGGGGAGAGATCAGAGTAGTGTAAAGTATAGACTGGAGAGTAGGAAAATTGGTTTTAATGAATTTGGTGTTATTGCAAATGAGGATGAAAGGTTGCTGCAAAGGGGATGCCCGATGAAGTGCAAGGTTGACTGGAAGAGATGAGAGTGGAAGGCCAGTTCAAAGAGTTGGATGAAATGGCTGAAGCAGTTGGACAGGAATGGCTGACTGTAGACTTGTAGACAAGCATCACTTAGTATTTCAAAATAAATTTCAGGATCTCAGTTTCACCTACTGTGTGAAGTAGGTTTCCTATTTCATCTCTTACACCATCTGCCTCTCCAAGTTTACCTTTGGAAGAAATGGAGGATATTCATGCCAAACAATCCATTTCATCAGTAACATAATTAATTCTGAAATTCTGGAGTCTGTGATAATGATTCAAAATGGCAAGAACTGTTCTAGATAAAGTAAGCTAAAAAATAAAATGAACAATATTAAAGGAACAAGCATGTAAAAGCAAATTTATCATTTTCTAACTTTTCTGCAGTGCTTGTTGGGAACTATTAGAAGTGGGTTTGCAGCCACAGATTTTGCTCATCTTGTTTCTCTCCTCCTCTGTCTTCCTTTAGTTCCAAACTGCAGTTATTAACAGAAGGTCTACTATTTGGTTTGCCCTTCTACTTTCTAACAGGAAAAGACAGAATAGCTTTGAAAATTTTATCTACTCCTGCTTATTATAGTAATCAAGATGAGAGTTTTTCTTTCTTTTACATAAAGAAACCTGAAGAAAAGTGAGGACAAGGTGGAGTCATTGAAGACAGAGATTGAAGAGCTTGGAAAGGCCTTGAAAGAACTTGTTGGTCACCAGAGGGAGGTTGAAGGAGTTGCCTCAAAGAACATCCAACGTTCTCAACAACTCAAGGTTCTCATCATTCCTGAGCATAAAACCTTCATTTACATCCAGGATGTGCATCCCGTGTTAGTTGTGGAAGGGAATCCCCTGTCCATCCTCCTGCCACTCCACCTCCCACCTGCCAGTGTGGGCCTGGCAGTTATCTCTTGCCTTGGCCCTGACACAGCCCAAGTGTAGCTCTACCCATTTTGAAGTTGTTTAGATTATTCTCTAAGCCAGCCCTAAAAAATATTTCCCATCTTTCACCAGCCAGGTAATATTTTTCCACACCCCACCTTCCCAATGGCAGAATATACCATTCCTACACAGGTAGACTAAGCAAATGTGTGCACACAGTTTTACAATGAGTAATGCAGACTCACATGAGGGGGGAGTGGTAGTAGATGGCTCTTTTAGTTTCATTTTGTCAGACCATCTGATTTTTCTGAGCCAGGCTGTTTTTTTTTTCTATCCAAACTGCAAAATGTACTCACCACTGGGGAATGGGCAAGTGGGAATTTCACAGGACTGCCTTAAGCATTTACATATAAACAAGTCTACTGAATGGGATAGGTAATGTAAGCTATGCTTTATTTGCTATTTTGCACTCACTTTCACTAGAGAAGGTATCAAATTGTAAATTGCAGGAGCAGAAAATATATTATTCTTACTAAAAGTTTAAAGAAAATTAAAAAATAACTCAGGCACTGACATTTTGTCACAATCTAAAGAGAAATGACAAGATAAAACCATGTTTTAAAATTCTCATTCCTGCTGTAATAGACTCATTGTGCCCTTGGAAAGAAAAGAGGCATTTAGAGTTTGACTTATGAGAGTGATCTCAGTAGATTCATGGTTTTTTCCCCCTCTTCATTGATAAATATTAGGTTGTTGCAAAAGTCCTGTCGGTGTTGAATGTAACATGTTCTAATAAGACTTCCAGGCTTTGACAATTCCTGGCGAGTGGGTGGTAGGTATGGGTATACAGGCCATGGAAACCGGCCTCGCAGACTTCTTCGCCTCGAAGCCCAAGTCCTTCTACAGAGAAGGCATCCATGACCTGCCCAGTTCTACCTGCTTCCAGTAGACGTTGATACCGCTTATACACCAGCTAATCCGGAGCGAACAACGTTTCGAGATTTCAACTCTTTTATTTCAAAAGTTATGGCTGTCCTGAAAACGTTGTTGGATTATGTTTGCTTGTCTGTCAAGCCATGCAACTTTCACCACTGAATCCCATGGTTGGGGCTGTCCACAAGGACTCATCAATAAGTTTTGAACCCCCCCCCCATCTCCCATCACTTTCATATTGTGTGAACGGAAATAAGATTCATTTTCCAAGCAACACCCTGGATTCGATAAGTGCCAACCTCTTCTTTAGTAAGCATTTCTGCCATTTTCACAGCATGAACTCTGTACAAAAATCACTCACTATTTGAAACAGAGAAAAGCATAATTAATTAGCTCCTATTAATGGAGTAATTGAATTACACATGATACTGAAAAATGCAACTACTTTTCTGAAAATTGAATAACTTCAGCTGTTCTTGTGTGCAATGTGCTCTTGTCATGTAGACTATTAGTGAGAGGCAATGTCCATGAAGAGAAAATCAATGGAATTGTTTCTCACAGGAGGAGAAAGAGGAGTTAGAAGAGGGTGGGAAGAAGGTGAAGAAGAAGCTGGATAGATTGACTGAAGAAGAAAATCAGCTTAGGAAGGAAAAGATCTCATTTGATGAAGCTATGGAGAAAGTGTCTGACACCATCAAGGAAATAAAGACAGCCATGAACCAAATCAAGACCAAGCTTGGGAAGCTCCATTTAGAGGAAGTAGAAGGTGAAGAGACTAAGCAGTTAACGACTTTTACAGACCAAGAGTTAGATGACACAGATCGTGGGGCAATAAAGGGCAAGATTGCTTCCCTTGAAGCTGAGCTCAAGGACCAAAAGCCCAATCTCAAGGTCATCCATGAATATCAAAACAAGGTGGGATGCAATAATTGCCTAAGGTTAGGTGTTTGTTTTCTTGTCTTATTGCATTCAAATCTTGTGCTGATTCTGGCAATTTTTGTGGACTTGCAGATGAAACAGTATCTTGCAAAGGCAGATGAGCTACAGCAATTGACACAGCGAAGAGACCACTTGAGGAGTCGGCTAAGTGATCTCAAGATCAGTCGTCTCAATGAGTTCATGACTGGCTTTGGAATCATCTCCATGAAATTGAAGGAGATCTACCAGATGATTACCCAAGGTGGAGATGCAGAGCTTGAGCTAGTCAACAGCCTTGATCCATTTGAAGAGGGAATCACCTTCAGGTAGGGTGGGAGACATCATTGCTTTCATCATCTTCATTCATCTTTGTAAAACGGATTTCTCCCCACACAGTGTGCGGCCACCAAAGAAGTCTTGGAAGAACATTTCAAATCTGTCTGGAGGCGAAAAGACACTCTCATCTTTAGCTTTGGTGTTTGCATTGCATTATTACCGACCTACACCAATCTATGTCATGGATGAGATTGATGCTGCCCTAGACTTCCGCAATGTCGCCATCATTGGGGAATATATTCAGGTACACTATTTCAACATATTCTTCTTTAATCCCTTCACCAAAATGTTTTCAGACACAAATTGTTTTTGAGACAAGACTGGCTCGTCTGCACCAGCACTGCTGTATGGGAAATTTGAGAGTCGATCTGTGATTGTACCAAAACTGATGTTGCCAGTAGACTATGGGAGACAAATTTCTTCTTTATCCAAATGCTATGGAATTTCATTGATACAAGCTGTTTATAAACTAAAGAAAGGTCACAGTTTCAATAAGTACAGACTTGCCTAAGTAAGGGAGGGTAGGAAGGGAAATTCCAAAAGCTTGTTTTTCTCTCAACTTCTAGTGCATGATCTATACTATGTCATAGGGTAAGCCATGAGTAGATGCAATGCCACCAGCAACAGGGCAGAGTTTTGCTGCTTGTTTTAAATGACAGAAAAATTCAAACATTTCCAGCCTCACAGATAATGGTTACCACTGACTGACACCCATCTAATACTAGTAGAAAACTAGCATCTTCTGTGAGAAGGGGAGTCCTCTCCTTATCACCAAATTGAGACGATAACCATGATCTGGCATGCTGTGGCTGTATGTATATTTTAATCCGGCTCAAATTGTTTGACTGACTGGTGCTCCTGTCTGGCCTGAGGTCTATGATGGACAGATTCCTTAGCTTTTCCTCTCTGTAACTATAAGAAAACTTTTTTTTTTTGCAACTGGTGGAAGTTTGGTTTTCACTTTAATAAGTAGCATACTTTGAACTGTCCCCTACACTTGGGGGATACAGCACTTACTGCTCACAGAAGTTAAACCACAAAAATTATTGTAAATTTAGGAACCACTGTTCAGAAATAGAAATATCTGCAAAAATTAAATTGGTTACGGCATGAGATGTTGACCGGAGAGTAAAATTTTCCCAATATTACGACTTGTTTTCCCCCAGAGTCGGACCAAAAATGCCCAGTTCATCATCATCTCACTGCGGACACAGATGTTCGAATTGGCCACCACCTTGGTTGGGATCTACAAGACAAACAATTCCACACACTGTGTGGTCATGAACCCAAGGGAGATAACTCAAATGGCCAAGGCTCTAACCAAGCCTCCTGGCCAACTTGCAGGCAGGAAACGACGCCTCGACGAAGACCCCAACTGACAAACTGTCTTCCCTTCCTGATACTGGGCTTTCAAGTCCAAATTGTGATTTCCAAAATTCCCAGTGCGTATTATGTGAAGGAAAAATGCCTGCAAATTCATTTTTTACAAGAGATATAATAAAATAGGTTAAGGAGAGTACTCAAATTCTTTGCTCAGTGACGGCTGGTGCCATTTTCTGTGTTCTTTAACAGAACTTCTGGAACTGCTAAGAGATAAAACTGCTATAATAGAGATAAAACTGCTATAAAAGTTAGCACAGGTCCTTTCCTGAAATTTTTTGCACAATATGTATTTTTCCATGGCTGTATTATCAACAAGCGTGGCAACATGGTGGTTTTTGAGACAACATTTTGATCTCTTTTCCTGATCTGTCGTACAAAGGATGATAATCAAGAACTTACATTAAGAAATAAACTTGGATGACTCGTGAACGCTTTCTTTTCACGTATTTGCCAGAGGTTGATGAGGGGGTGCGTCTTATACCAGGCCTCATTCTGAGCTTTTCTTTTCACGGAACCGGTAGACCACTGGGCTGCCGGTATGTTGATCACTAATTGCGACGGAAGCAGTGCCTGCAGTCGGACAGAAAACGGGAAACAGGACCAAAATAAAAAAACATGGGAAGAAAGGTTGCGTCGACTCACTCAAACCCCGCTCCGTCTTGAAATCGGTGTCAGATGTCTGACTTGGAAGATTCATTCGGAGTGCACTTGTTCTTCCCCTCAGACGATCATCTTCGTTCCATCGAGCGCACTTGACATTACCCCATTTCTCTGAACCTTGCCTCGAGAGTGCAGCATGAATGAGGCAGGAGAGAGGATCAAGGTTATTCAAGAAGCGAGGAAATTGGGCACCCGTCCAATGGGCCGTAAGCACAACATCAAGGGAAGCTGCATGCGAAAGAGGATAAAGGAGGTGGCGAAATTTCGTGGGGTTTGAAATAATCTTGTGGGTTTTTTTATGGGAAAAAGGGTTATTTTCCGGAAATTGTGAAGGAAGTGAGGTAATATGTAAAATAGTAATTTCCCATTCTCATAGCAAATGAAACGAGTTCAAACCATGTTCGCCTAACCAGATTCCAGTCTAGGGGAGCGGTACCAGTTTGCGAACAGGGATCCATCCAGTTAGTGAATGAGGGTCATGAAATGCGACTTGGTCTTTTGTTTCTCGAGTTACACGCTCCAGCTTTTGGTATCTGCAGAAATGGATTGATTGTTTAATTAATGCTTGGGATGGAGAGTGAAACTAGAGTAACAAAAGGCCAAATCGCATTTCATAACCCTCGTTTACTAACTGGCTCCCTGTTCGCGAACTGGTGCCGCTCCCCTAGTTTGGTGAGACAAGACTATGGATGACATGCACCAAGTCGTTTAATTTTAAACTGATTCGTTTTCATAATGGGCGTCTATGGGAATATGCTTCTCTTGGTTAAACTGATTCCCTTAGGGAACCATTGTGAGATCAGATTAGTTTAGCTGAAACGGATTCGGTGCATGTCACCCTGTGTCAAGGTCAGGAGAGTGAAAGGTAATCGAGATCCAACCGACCCCGTGTCTGCTTGACCGGTTTCTCACTCCGCACTACAGATATGGTACATACCCTTGAGCGTTGGTGGTTTTTTTGCCTATTGACCAACAACTGTTGGCAATTTCCAAAAATCCGCAAACCTCCATAGAGAAACAGAGCAGTAGAGAACCTGGAGGGGCGAGTTCGATTGAGCTCCGCTACTGCATGCTGACCAGAGGGAGAGACGTTCGCAGCATCTTCATCCAGGAGTGGGTGGGTCCCACAACGATAGGTGGAGTTGATTGATACTGTTGGTAGGCAGTGCTCAGGGAGGGATTGCACAAAAATACTAAGATCCGAATGCTGAAACCTCGTTCAGGCGAGGTAGATAGCCTTTACGGCCTAAATAGCTCCTTTTCTCCACTGGGCTCCATGGATTTATAAAGGACCTTTCGCAGAAGAGATACAGAAGGGAGGATTGGATTGGATGAAAGAAAACTCACAAAGGGGATGAGGCGGGGACGAGAACAAAATGCGAACTGAACAGCGGAATGAAGCAGGATGCCTTCGACTCAGACCCAGGAACTCGAGACATCCTCCCCTCGGGCCACTTCAAGGAGGTAGCAACTCTCCTTTGGGGAAGAACTCGGTTGGGTCTTCCACGCTCAAGGCCAACTTCAGGCTGGGTCTTACTATACGGGAAAAAAAGGAGGGGAGGGAAACTAAAAAGAATCTCGTGCGAATTGGGTGTGATGCAAAGTTACTGGCGTGATGTCTTTCGGGCATTTGGATCCCGGTTCTGAAATGATCCGTAACGAAGACGAACCATATGAATGCAGGACTCGGGTCGTCGAGCAGAAGAGATGCAATTGCAAAGCACGGAACGAATGGAAATTTCTCGCCGGTTGGCTTTCTCATCGACTCGATGCTTCTATGCGTGAATCCGGAGAGCTTCAACTGTCACCTTTCGGTACTGCACGTTCGCCACCCCTCTGGTGTTCAGCATTGTCGAGTTGACAGCAGTCCACAGTAATATAAAGCTGCTGTATCTTCTCTGGCACTTTAAAAATTGTGTCATCATTTCGGGGAAGGAAATACGGGATAGCTAAGGTTTGGAAGAACCTGTAGGCCTGGAAATTGCATCTAACGTTTCGCAAATTGTCTTGTAGGTTGAAAATGCATCTGGCTCGTATAAAATGAATGCATTCCAGAAAAGATTAATATTAAGGGGTACAAATATTTTTTTCATAAAACTGGGGCAGTTTCCCATTTTACCCTGACTATGTTGGTAAAATGGGATACAACCAGCATGCAAAAATATGCCGTTTTTTCAGCAAATTGGTAGGCAAGATTACGAACACCACAAGCCCTTAGTACAAAAAGCATACTCTCCGTGTTTTTAATATAGGTAACAAGTTAACAAGAACATTGCTGCTCTAATTCAACGAGGAAAGTTGGCAGTCTACTTCCCAGACTCTTTGAACTTCCAACTGCATGTTTGTTCTTTCCTTTCACTCGCCTTTCCATTGTTGATTTGGGCATTCTATAGGTTTTGACAGATTTTTTTTTATTTTTTAAATACACATTCTCATCATGAAATCGTATCAGTAGCTTTCTTCGCGGTGTCTTCACTCCATGACTGCCGGTTTGTTTTGAGCTTATCATTTGAAGGCATTCTTGGCTATAAATCTGGAATAGTTTAGAAAACGTTCATCAGTTTTGATGGTCATCTGTCACATCTCATAATCGTGACGCTGCAAAACTACTTTCCGTGTAAGGGTAAAATGGGACATGTCCCATTTCACCCACATGAGAGCTATCCCGTTTTACCCAGCATCATGCCACCATGTTGAAACAGGGACCTGAACGAAACGAAGTGACTCTGTACCAAAAAAAAAACACTATGATAACAAGTAGCAACTTCATTAGGATCCCTAATAGATATGTCATTATAAACTTTTTTTTTTTTTTTTTTTTTTTTTTTTTTTTTTGTTTTTTTTTTTTTTTTTTTTTTTTTTTTTTTTAGCAGGATTCAAGGGGTGAGAAGGACAAGGGAATTTTGCATGGTTAAGCCTGATGGACTTTGGTTACTTAGCAAGAGTGTTTCAACCTTAGGATGTACACTAAATCAGGTTAGGATGATGGCTTCTGTTTCTTCTGGGCTTGTTTCAGGTTGCTTATCTTGACAATCAATTTCTAATGGCAAGCAAGTGATCTGCACTCTTCATTGACTGTGCACTCTCTAAACAATTGAAGGTGCCGAGGAGGAGGACCTACAATGAAGGCGAACTCTGTAGTTGCGCTTACTGTAAAAATCATGACCAAGTAGCAATAACCATATCTCTCGAAGTTCCAAGCCAATTTTTGAACAAAGACCGCTGTGGAAATTCCCCATATTGCTGTGCCTATTCTATCCAAATTTCAGGTTTATAGAGAAATTCCTGAATCTGTCTTCATTCCAGAGTGCCACCAACCAAGGTACACTTGACTCAGAGAACAGTTGTTAAGCATTTAACCAAGTTGAAAATATTGAGATGAATTCTGGGGCAGCTATAGTAGGGCAAAAGCTTACTTGGAACACATCCTGATGAGTGATTTGTATCATGAGGTTGAAAGTGGCTTTAACCATAGATTCAGATAGGTGACTTCCACTTTGATTAGTTATTAGTTTTGTGAAAAACTAGTTTTACTGGCAAATGGTGTAATAGTAAAAGTTATTTTTAGTAAACTAATTTCTCTGTGTACAGGAAACTTTTTCACCTGCAGGTTTTGTGCCAGTTGCTGACAAAGTTTCGCTTCCTGAAACAAGTCTCACATATACATGTAATTGTATTATGTATTTTGTAATTATTACAAAATAACATGTATATGTGAGACTTGCCTTGAGCAGATAAAATTTATTTTTATTATTGGCACCTGTTGGCACAAACTGAAGATGACAAAGTTTCTCTGTGTGCAAAAAAAATTAAATTACTTAACTTTTTCCATTTGACTGTTTTCCGATAAGACTAGTTTTACACAAAATACTAATAACTAATCAAAATGGAAATCACCTATCTGAAGCTTTGCTTAGACCCTTAGGTTAGAGCCTAGAGTTTTGATCTCAATATTGAATGATCTTATTTTATTTCAAAAAAAGAAATTGCCTGGAAACCAACTAGTGCAAAAATGCCTCAGTGTTGATCATTAAGTATTCAAAACTTTAACTAACTACTCCTTCATTTGGAAAGGAGGAAACTAAAAAATATCCTTCTTTTGACTTGAGCATCTCTAATTCTAAAAATGGGAAATTGTTTTAATTATTTAAATTATTTTTTGGACTTTAGGCCAACTTGCAACATTTTCTAAACCACTGTACAGGGTGGCGCAAAAGTTGCGCACCATAGGGTAAATTAAAGTAAATGTTCGAATTGTTGAACATCATCTTGGAAACACTTTTCGATTCAATGTACACAAGATGTTTCAACACTTCTTAACACACTGATGTTGATATTGGCACACTCAGATCTGATATTTTCCTTCAATTGCTCTATGTTTCTGGGACATTTAACATAGATGACTGACCTCAGATGCCCCCACAGAAAGAAGTCAAGAGGCGTGAGGTCTGGTGACCTAGGTGGCCATTCAACGGGCCCTCGCCATCCAATCCACTTGTTTGGGAACGTCTTATTTAAAAAGTCCTGAACGAGGATTGAAAAAAGAATGAAGCACCATCCTGCTGGAATACACTTCCCATTTCTTTGAACCAATTAATTATTCTTTCAATGGTTGCCTGATCAATTGGAGGCCTCTCTGGGTGTTTTTCATTAAATTCAGTAACAATTGATTGATTTGAAGTGTCTGGCCTTCCACGCATTAAAACTAACTCTACTCTCCCATCTTTTGTTAATTTTGAAGCCATCACTTACCTAAGAAGCAAAAAAAATTATTACTATAGTCCAACAGTGAAATCCCCTATGCTGTGCAACTTATGCGCCACCCTGTACAATGGTAGGACTTGATAGGGAAATTTACAACTCTCTAATAGCCCTTTCCCCTTTTTTTTTCCCTCCTACCCTGTGTAGTCCATTTTTTTATTTAATGATCTGTAACTTCTTGTTTCATTCTCAGGGTCTCATGTGTGCTTTCAAGGACTCATCTGGAATAGGAGACCCATTATTCTTTGACACACGTTGTTTGTAGTGGCAAAACAAATGACTGTCAGGGTAGGGGACAGCTTCACTCCCCTCCTGGAAGTCCATTGCACATTCTTCAGGAAAGAAAGATTTGACACTGATTTATATTATGTGCAAATTGTAGATTTTTATATGATAGGGGATTTAACTGAACTAGTTGACTGGTTCAGATATGATATCCCTCAGATGTGATATAAATTGGGTTCCCAGCTTGTGGCCTGTTTGCTGTGTACAACAAGGCAAAGTGAAATGCCCAGGCCTTGTTTTTCCTATTATAGAATATTGACAACACTTAACCCTTCTAAAATCTCTGGATAACATAAGGACAGCACCCACCACATACAGGTAGCATGTTGTCTCTTGTTGGTAATGCCTGATATAAATAATTGATTTGCAGTTTGTCCACATGAGGAAGCAAGTATCAGAATGATGCTGGTGCATTGATACCATCAGCTTTGTGTGCACAAGGGAATATGCTATTATATGGTAATAGTAGTTTTTTCTAATAATTCTTTGGGTTGGTGCTTTAGATGCTGAGAAATTTGACCCTTGGAAAGACGTTGGAGGTGGGCTTCCAGAATATAATATATTTTCTTAATTTAGCCAGTTTTTCATTTGAGTATGTTCTGATAATTGTTGATAATTACTGTATCCAAATCCATCCTTAGTATTCATTGAAACAGTAGTGATTTAAAGGGTTCAGGCCATGACAGTAACATGTGAAAAGGTTCTTTGATATGGTACTAGAAGGTCAGCTTGGTGTACCCAGAAGACAAAGTTCAAGGAATGAGGAAACCTCTGAGGAGGGATTCTCCATAGTCTTGAATATATGCATGAGTGTCAACCATATCTTTTTACTTTAGCATACTAGCACTGTGGTGTCCATATGCTAATTTTGTATGACTTCTGCTGCTGATTGTTGCCTACTACCCTTGCCTAATGTGATTCCCCTTGAAATCAATGAGCTCCAAGCTCAACATTTAAGGACAGCCTTGATTGTGGGGACTGGAATGATAGAAGGCACTTCCTATGTTAAAGGATTTTTTAAATTGTGGGTATGCTTCATGACTGAAATTCTGCCAAAATAGTGTCCCACATGACATAGCATGGAGCTTTCTTTGTATAGTAAGTTAGTTAGTTAGGCTAATCATTTCAAGCTAATTGTTATTTTTTTCTGTTGAAAGCCAAATGTATGCTAAAATCATCTCATTCTATTAACCATTATTTAGAATTTACATACCTACTACCTAGTTGTCTTGCCTCTTAATCTTGAATCATGTCCATGCTCAACAGATGCAATGTATCAGTGAATTCATATGAAAAATGTGCTTTTCCCAGTATACCTTCACTATCGAGTTCTTTGTAAAAAGAAAAAATAATGCAAATTTTTCACTGCAGGGTGGTCTTGAATTCAGTGAAAGTCCTTCACAGACTTGAAGAAAAATAATATTGGCCATTTGTCACAGGAAGCAAATCGTTGCCCTTTTCTTTGGTAGGGTCACACACTGTCGATAAGGTGCAGATGACTTCCTTGCTTTATATGTGTTGCTGGAATTCTCAGTTGCGGTGTCCCAGTCACCTGCAGGGCCCAGCTATCTGACATCTTCAAAGCTGGCTCTTCTGTATATTATTATGCTAATCTTTCACACAGACTGTATCACATCCTGTTCTGTGTGTGTTCCCTCTAACCTTTCCTGTAGTGTCCTGCACTGGTGAAAGTATTTGTGTCCAGACCTCTTTGGGAAGTGTTCCAAATCAAGGGAGCTGGTTTGAGGAATAGTACTAATTTATTCTTTGGTGCTCTGAATATCAATGTGCTTATCTTCCATGTGCGTGGACAGCATTGAGATTGGGAATGTCACAGATTAGTAGCTGTCGTGTCTGTGGCTCCCCAAGGAGAGTACTTGTTCCCTCAGTGTCAGTTCCCTGTGTTAAATGCTTGAAACTTAAGAATGTGTTACTTCATTGGAAGAACACTGTGTCCCAGAAGCTTCATAATCGGTATGTCAGCTCTTTTAAATTTTTCATGTAACTAAAGTATGAGGAGAAACAAGTAATGTGTTTCCCTTTTTTTTCCACAAAAAACCCATTTCTCCGTACCTTTTTCTGTAATGTATCCTGTATGTATTCAGTTTATTTCATTTAGTATCACATTATCACTTTCCTTTCCCTCATGAGTCTCAAAATGTGGATTATCACATTGTTGTGTTGTGTGACTGTGGAACCATGGAAACCAGCTTTCTGGCTTTAAGTATGGAGAGATTGTCAAATATCATCTGGTGGAAAGTAAGTGTTGCACTGATTTTGTGTGCTAGCTTTGCCTTGAGCAATTCAAGATATCAACATGTTTAGACAGGAGACAAATGTGAGGGGTTCACTGTGTGGACCCCGATGAACATGTATGAGGTGTTGAACCTGCTTTCCTGTATTTCTTATTTAGGTGTGAATGTCTCTCCCATGTACATGTCATCCAGTCTCGTCAGGTGTGTGTATTGGAGAGCAAAATCAGGTCATTGCACCCCATGCAATGTGATTGTGTTCATGTGTCAGGCCACTGTGACTTCTCATTTGTGATTCAACATAATAATATCCTTATTGGTGTTGCCTTTTAGGCAGCTAGCAATGTGATGTTGAGTCACTCTTGAGACTCTTAAATCAATAGTGTCTTGTCTTACAATTTTTTCCACTTAGTCACTTTCCTGCATTAGTATAGAAGAAATTGAATGTGGGCACATTGCATGCAATGAAATATGAGAGAACTTGTGAGAACTGGATGTTGTTTTCACTTGGACTTCACCAAACCTAAGAGCCAGAGAAAAGTTGAGTCAGTGTGGTATGAAATGTCAAGCTTAGAAGAGGAGAATAGGGCTCAATGGCCAAGGCATGCTGACTACATGGAACAAGAAAGGTCCTTTTCCCAATTATTTCTGCAACAGTGGGTGTGCACTTGAAGCTGTTAAGTACGATTGTGTCTGAGATGGAAATCATAGGATTGGCCAGATTTTGTTTCATATCTTCTTGCTTGCTTAAAGGGAAAAGAATCTGTCTAGGTGCATCATCAAACACCTTTCATCAGAATATATGATCCTCTTTCTTGCATTTCATTTGAATCACTGTCCTTTATTAGGTATTCTTGGATGTTAACTGACTTTTTTTTCACTTCAAGTGATCGGCATCCTCATGTTTTACACAACCTGATGTATAGCAACACTTTGATGATTGCATGATGACATGAGAGACTTCCTTTTATTTAAAATTATTTATGCCTCTTCATGCCTATAGTCATGTTATCATCATGTACAGATACATATATCTGACAGAAGGTTCATGAGAAGGCCATTCGTTTCTTAGTTGTGAATTCTTTGACACTTGTCTGAGCTTGTTATTTTTTTTATAATGCTATGCTAAAAAAAAAATAAAACAGGAAACCAATCACAGGCATGCTTTTGAATCGATGACTTTTAGCAATGTGGTGCAGTAATTAAACAAATAATTAAATCTCTGCAATATTCTCCTATTTTTGTTGCTAAGTGATGTTTTCCAATAGATCATTGTGATATCTTGATGTCTTGTTGATATATTGTTTTGAAGTAATTCAAAATTCTTATAGGAAAATTTTCTGCATAGTTGGTATTCTGAAATATGTTTGTCTTATCCAGTAAAACTGATGTTAGAATAGTGTAAAAATAATATACCTGACTGATCCAAGTGGGTTTGAAGTAGATTTGGTGTTGAATGATGTGGGAATGGAATAGAACATGAAGATGTACTTTGATGCTCTAGATTGCGTCATGACAGAGGCCGGAATGAGAGTGATGGGGATGATGAAGAGGATAGCTCTGATGATGAGTTGGATGCTGAAACCAATGCTGATTTCTCAACCACTCCACCTCGCATGCAGAAATTGCGGAATCAGAAACGGAGGGGTAGCAAAGATATCGAGTGAGACAATGTTTCGTGCTCTTTACTTGATCCCTTTGAAAGCTTTGCTGTTCTATTTGATATATTGTAATTTTGTACCTTTAGTTGTCTTATACAGTGATATGACTTTTCATGTTTAATTTATGAATTTCAAGAATCTGCTGTCTATATAATACAGGGTGTCCCAAAAGGTATGGAAACATTTTATAAATAAATATATCCCAAAATTATGCTTCAGATTAAATGATTAAAACAGTAAAATGAAGTGCTACTCAAGCATTTTAAAACCCATTATTGCAATTCCACATGGGCACTATTCATGGCTCTGTAGACATTCAGACGATGTTCAAGCTCTTTCTGTAACTTATGCAGTGTCATGCATAACTATCTGGATAGCTGTGACAATTCTCTTCTTCAGATCTTGGAGATTGTCAACTTTTCTTGAGTAAGCAATGTCCTTGTCATAGCCCCACCATAAAAATTTCCAAGAGGGATGGGTTCAGGTTCAATAAAAGTCTAATTTTCCAAGATGTTGCACTTGCACATTTTAGCAAACTTATGTGCAACAAAAAATTCCCAGATCTGTGGATTGGACAAAATGAGCCCATTCCATGGCCTCCAAGATCACCTGATATAACCCCAGTTGACTTTTTCTTGTGGGCTGTCAAGGACATCACTTACTGGAGAAAAGCGGATGATCAATCAAGATCTAGAGAACAGAATCGTCCTAGCTATCCAGACAGTTATGCCTGACATTCTGCACAAGGTGTGGTAAGAGCTTGAACATTGCTTGGGCATTTACAGAATCACAAATGGTGCCCATGTGGGATTGCAATAATGTTTGATTTGCACTTCATTTTACTGTTTTAATAGTTTAATTTGAGGCATAATTTAGGGAGATATTTATATTTAAAATGTTTCCATACCTTTTGGGACATCCTGTACAAGTGGAATAGATTAGACAGGTGGATTAAATACTCTGAGTACCACTTTATACATAACATTCAACTTGATAATGAGCATGTGTATGATTAATTTAATTCAAGTCTCATGTTGATTCCTTGATGAAGACCAATCACTTGCAAGTTGTGCTGATGTCTCATTCATGTTTCCTCTTAATGCTTCTCACATTAGGAAATGTATTGGGTAGAGTATGAATTGTTTATATTTGTCAAGTCAGTGCACACCCCCTGTCATGCATGCTTACATGATATAACAGGATTCCAAGTCGGTGGACAGGTCACAGCCACAGTCGTGGGGGTGAGCATGTTTATCGGGGTCGAACTCATCCAGGTGCTATACAGACCCGGTCCCGAAACGTCAACCTTGATTCATTTGTTAGGTCCTTGTCTCGTGAGGTCTACCACTCAGATGAAGGTGAGTCTGACACTTACCTCTCATGTTCATACATTGGCTCTTCATTCTTTTTTAACCCCAAGGTTGAGTAGTTAAAGGTGACATCACCTCAATAATTGTTTCATTTTGTGAGATTTGTAAAAAAATTCAAACCATGAATTTTTCCTTCATTTTCAAATATTCACTCACAGTGATCCAATAAATTTACTCCTCTTACGTTACTGCCTTCTTGCTTCAATAAAGCCAGGTAAGAGGTACTTAACAAATAGGTATGGTCACTTGTTATCATAAGATTATGTCTATCAAAAACAATGCTAAAGATATATTGAATAAAATTTGAATCCAGGGAAGTTTTATCTCATTTGCATATAATATAAAAATGTTTAGAGGTATTTAGAGCTGTTTACAGGCCCATGTTGTAGAGATTGGATTCCACTACCCCTGTCTTCAAAACAGATGTGCGGATGATGACTCGGTCAAGTGAACACCGGCGAAAGAACCAGCGTCAGAGGAACCTGGAGAGGACCTCTGCACGGATGTGGAAGATGAACCAGGGCATGTCCCTATCTCAAGGAAGAAGATCTTCACTCTCAGGTCCCACCTCTTTAGAACAAGAAGGCTATGCCTCCTCCTCCCCCACCCAGCAAGGAGGCTCTCCCTCCATGCCCTACATAATGCCTCATTCTGGGACCAAGGTATTGCCATTGTTGTGACAATTCCTGAGGGTAAAAATTAATATTAGGAGAATAGGAAAAAAGAAACAACCTCTTAAAGGATCAAACAAAGTAATTGATAGAAGAAGAATTCATTTTCTACCAACAAAAAGGTATTCATTTCAAGCATTTCACTCTTGTTCTCTGTTAGTTGAGCTACAGGTGCTGCAAGTCTGATTTAAAAATAAAGTAACTGTTATCTCTGAAAAAGTTAGACACCTCCCACTTCAAACTCCAGTATTCTATCAAAGCATGTTTCATGAATTGTGTATTGCAGTAAGACTATACAAAAATAGAACAAAAGTAATTGAAAGCATTCAAGTCCAACCAACACAGTTTTCAAATCTCTCCTTGCTTCTTTTTACCCCCAAAATATAGTGATATGGGGTGTGAACTGTAATGTAAGTTGACTTGGTGAAGTATGGGTAGTAGTTAAATGAATGGGGAATAGGTTGAAACCACTCCATCTCCTCTGCTGTTTTAGCTCTCTCTTGAAGAGCCTTTGGGAGTGCTCTTCATGCACTGTGAAGTATGAGAATGCCATTCCCAATTTTTCCTGCATATTTTCTTCACTGTATCTGGGTCTGGGTAAAGCAAAACTTCTGTATTTGATTTAATTTTTTACTTGTGCTTGAATGTATTGATCCCCCTTACTTTCATATATACAAGGGTCACTCAATAAGTTATCTACCTCCCTTCTGTTCAGACACTTGAAAAAATTTTTGCGAGGAAAAAGATTTCATGTAATGAAGAGCTGAATTGCAGTTTCTGATTGGTTTGATGGACAAGAAGTTGACTT